CTGCCCCCACTGCCTCATCGCTGCAGATGTATTTCCTAAAAGATGTTTAAAAAAAACTCAAGGAAGGACAGAGATGCGATTCCATTCCTGCATGGAATATTACGACCCTGGGCTATAATTTTCTGACGATGGCATCTGGCCTACGTTAAGCTGCTCTCTCAGACAGTGACAAGGTGCTACACCACTAACCAGGCCAGACAGCAGATCCTGTTTCCATGACAGAACTTTAGTATCTCCATCCTCTTCCTCTTTACTGAGAGATAAACATTGGGTTCCTCTGTTCCCCCTCATCCGGGAGGTTTGTGATGACTGCCCTCCACCCCCCCCGAGCCTTTCTTAATCGGCACCAGTGAAATACCCACACAATCCCTTGGCAGGTCAGTAGCTATCCCCCCGCCCCCCCCGCCTCCCTTCGAGCGACGGGCTGGATGGGAGGAGTCGCCGCAGTTGGACAGCTGTGTCGCAAACAGTCCCCTCGGCGATGGGCCAGCGGCCCCCGCTTAATTAACCCCTTCACTTAATTAACACCGTCCCAGAATTCCGTGCCACCACTATTTCCAGGCTCGGCCTGGGATAATCTCCGGGATGCTCGGTGGCGGAGCTGCCCCTAATCCTCCTGATCCTCGCTTTACCCACCGGCCTGTAAGATCCTTGGCATGGGGTAGGCGCGTGTGCCAGTGTGCATTCACATTTCAGATGAAGGCACAATGAAAGAAAAAAAGCTTTTTATTAGATGCTGCACAGGTGGCCTGCTCACTTGCGCCCCCTGGAGTGCGTTCCAGGGGGTGTCCCGGTTCTAGTCCTGGGCAGGAACACCAGTGTCACCTCAAATTTGACAATACAGGCAAACGTGCTGAATGAAAACGATATTTCAAATGCAATTTATGATACACAGATTAGTTCTGCTATGACCGGAAGTGATAACCATAACTTACATGACTCAGGGATGTCAGTAAATGTGTGTGTGTGTGTGTGCGGGTTTACCTATCCTTATGGGGACATAACGTCCCCATAACGTGATAAATATCCGTTTTTTTCCCGGTTTCCTGGTCCCCATAAGGGAAAACTCTATTTTATAAAAATCGGTGACTGCTATGAAAAAACTAAAAATGCAAAAACTCTTGTATTTTGTTAGGTTACTTATGGTTATGGTTAGGGCAGGGTAGGGGTTAAGGTTGTCATAGTTAGCGTTAGCATTTTTCCCATTGAAATGAATGAGCGGTCCCCATAAGGATATGTTTACCCTACATGTATGTGTGTGTGTGTGTGTGTGTGTATGTGTGTGTGTGTGCAATTGTTGCAAATTATGACCGCAACGGCACAGCAAAGACATTTCCGTGCCTCGAGTCAAGGCCTTATTTTTGAAGTTCTGGATTAAAGATTATTCGGTTCCCAACAACATTAAGACTCTAATCTGCTGCTTTAGAGATTTCTCTAGCGCCTGATGGCAGGGAGGCAGTCACATGACCCTCCTACCCAGAATTCTAACAGACAGTTACTCGCACCCTGGGGACACCCACCGAGCACTTTGTTTGTCTGGTTTCGCTCCTCCATTTCTGGAGATTTCCTTCCCACAAAAAGCAGCCCGACACTGGAGACGTCAGAAGCATTAGGACAATCGGGCGATTACGAGCCGCGATGTCACGCGCCTTTCCGAGCTGTCGGTTGAGATTTCCACGGCATGGGTCTGCGGGACAGTCACTTGGATGCTTTGAAAACGTAAAGATTAAAAGAATCCGGTGTCTGATTCAGAAGGCAGGGCGTACAAAATCCATACACAGTGCGTTTAACGCGCTCGGATATATGGTTTTCGATTGCAAATGATTAGTAAACAGTCAAAGTTGTCAGGATAAACATTATTGCGATGACTGAATCACCCGCTTAAAAAAGAAAACGAGTGAATTCCGGAATCGGCATTTAAATGGAGATGCCCGCTTGGAGTCATCCAGGCGGTTCTGATGGCTGGGGTTCGTAAACCTTCCAAATCTGTGGCGTCCAGCAGTCCAGAAGGCCACGGTGCCAGCACGGCGTGGTGGCAAGGGCACTCTCTCCCAGCCCGTCAGCGCGCCGGCGCCGGATGTCAGGACCAGCGCCGGAGCTCCTCCCAAGCCAAACGCCCCACGTCCGCCCCATTCCCCCGGCCCGCAACGGACTGCCTGGCGACACCGGTGCACTAATGACCCGGCCAGGGACGTTCGCGGTGGGGGCTGGCAGGGCAGATGGAAGCTGCGGAGATCCAACAGGAAGGTCGTCGGATCCTGCTGGAGGATCTCCCGCGGCTTTTCCTGTTGCATCCTCCACTCTGGTGCCACGAGCAAGCCAGAACGTTAATGCCACTCCCAGCGTAATCGGAACATTCCACGCACCGAGCGGCTCATTGCCGACACAACCCCCCCCCCCCCCCCCACGTCCGGGGCTAGCGGATGGTGCCAAGGCCCGGTCTTGTCCCCCTAATACATCATTTATATTCCGTCGCTGCCATTTCCACAATCTGCAAATTCTATATTTGATTTTTGTGGCGCGAGAAAACTTTGTTTACATTCCTGCATTTCATTTTGGGGGCTATCGAGACCGAAGCTGTATGCATGGGTGCCCACATGGACAGACGTGCCACATGTCACGACAAACGCGTCTGCTGCCCCGGATAAGGTTTGCGATCACCCCGTACGGCATCCTCGCTGTGCCAGTCAGACATCCGGAACGTTCTCTGCACTGGCTGAGGGTTAGGGATGCTCCGGCAAGCCGTATCCGTGGGTATGCGCTCCAGTTCACCTTCTAGGGTCAAGCAGCTATGAGATACAGTGTAAAGATGGGTCTGCAACTAGCAAAGCTCCTTTAACAGAGAGCTCTAGATAGATGAAGGATGCATGCAACAATGACAATTTTATTTAACTCAATATTTTAAGCTAGCTTTTGGCCAGATGGGAGCAAGTCTGGTGTTTACAAAAAATAAAAATGATAAATTAAAACAGTACAAAAACAACAGAGAAAAATATTTAAGAAATGAAAAACAACAATGATAACAACCCCCCCGCCCACCACAGAAAAGCTTGACGTCTTTGATTCAGATGGAACGTGGGGCAAATAAATTAATATTCCTCCATCTTTCCTGCACGATCCACCTGTCATTCATCTGATAATGTGGGCCAGCATTGTGTCGTTTATAGCTGTGGCCAGCTCGTACGTTGATCAGAGCAATTCCTCTGCTTATCGACATAAATATCGTGCTTGTAAACAATAGCTAGCAAATGAATTACTGCCGCCTGTGCTATTTGGGCCAGACAGCAGCAAATCCCCCTCGCCGAGCTTCACGCCGCAGCGCCGGGAGAGCGCCGCGTCACGTGACCGCCTCCGCACGGGGTCGCCGAGCTGTATATTAGATTACTCCGGTGGAGTCCTCCGGTGAGCGACTTGTCGAGCCTTTCTGTGCCGCTTTGTCTGAGATGAAAACACCGGCTTGCCCTCGGGGGGGTGGGTTATTGTTGGGTTTTTATTTGGGAAAGGGGGGGAGACGGCAGAAGTCGAGCTGTAAGACTTTCGCGAAACAGCTTGGCAGCGGATTGGGAAAAGGGCAGCGGAGGGGAGGCGCATGCCACCAGGCCGGGGGGGCTCAAATCCCCCATCAGAAAAGCGCCGGCAAACTGAGCCTTTATTTGCTTATTTGTCGCCGTCTTCGCGTGCGGGTTTCCCGTACAGCACGAGGGCGCTCCCTGTCACGCGACGTCTCCGAGCTCCCGTGTGACGCGTCACCTGACAGCCGGGCTCCGCAAACCACAATCAAAGAATTAAGCTGTATCATGTGAAATTGGGTATAAAAATGACATATATGTGTATGAAAAGAAACCCACAGCCTAAAATAGGCCACGTGTAAGCAAAACCACGTTGTCAGATCTTAAATAAAATAATAACAATGATACCACTGAACATATGAATATTTTATAAACATATAAGCTTTATTCCCTGAGATCAGAGTAATATCCACAAATGGAAAAAAAAAAAAAAAAAAGAATATATAAAAAGGTACATTTAAGGCATTAGGGATGCTATCTCAAACATATAAGATTACTGTCGTGATTCGGTGGTGTCTGAGTGAGAGGTTGGTAATCCTACACCCTGCCACGTGCATTCCTGCACCGATTTGGAGGACGTCTCCCTCGGAAGGGGACGCTGTCCCGAGCCCTCTCCCGGTTGGCTGGGTAACACCGTAACCAACAAGGCGGCAGACACCCCCAGCTGCCCCCCGCTCCTTGCCGAGGTCCGGGTCGACGTGTTTCCCACGGATTCCCGGGCAATGCGACAAACGGCGCAGGCTCCGCGCACAGTCATAAGGCATCATAAAGTATTCATAAATCAAGTCATTATAGAAAGAGATACAGTGCTTTGCACCCATTTGTCCCATTGACTGCAGAAGTAAAAATGTCAAAACACACGGTCCCCCATCATTTTTCACAGCCACAAAACCTTGGAGGTGTGTTTTTTAAAATACTTCAATACATTTCAGCTCCACAGCCCACCGATTCTGCGGAGATTATTAATGCGTTTAATATCTAGTAAAACGTGCTCGCTCCGGTAGACCGTCGCCGTTAAGCGTAATGACTTTTCTGTCCATATTGCATCTTGAAGAGAAACGTTGAGTCTGTCCTCTGGCAGCAGCCGCTTCAGCCTCTAATCTCTGCAGCCAGAAGGGGGACTATCACTCTGCCGGAGACGCGCCTGACGCTCGCAAAACTGAGAGGTGAAACTCCGGATCCGGCCATAACGCGGGATCCAGTTGTCCACGTCTTGCCGGAGTCCCGAGGATTTTAATCATGCCTCCTTGTCTGTGTGTGAGTGCAGGCAGGCTGACAATGATTTCCTCAGTGATTACGTACAGAGCGAGTCCCTGCGGGTTAGGGGCCCCCTCTGGAGCCGTCCTGATGGCTTTGGGGGCCTTGCTTCCATTTTCCATTATTATGTGGACTACCGGAGCGACAGCGCAGTCCAGGACCTTGCAGGTTTGTGATGAGGAGGGAGCTCACATCTCCTCTGCGCTTCTGTTACCGATTTAGATCAGATTCAGATAGAAATCCAGGACTAGCTTACCGGGAATGAGAAAATGGAGAACCTTAATTAGTTTAGAAGCTTGCTTTGTAGAGAAAAAGTATTTTTGTTGCATATTTTTTTCCGTAGCTCACCAGACGATTGCTGATGTATTTCTAACGCGGTTGCAGTTACGATTTTGTTTCAAAATGGAATTTGAGTGTGCAAACACAGCTTTATTATCGGAATATGGAGCGGTATGATACGGAATTGATACTGTATTTTACGCTTTTTGCTGTTGTCCAATTAAATAGATATCGATAGCTCTGGATTTTTTTTTTAATACCTCGTTTTACTTCTGTCATTGCTGTCGTCAGTTAAATCATTTTCCCCACACATGCATTTTTGGTAAAATAGCGGTCGCTGGTCTGTGAGAGCAAACGCGGGTTTCATGCGAGATCGTTTTAGCGCGAACGGTCAGTCGGTGTGAAACTGATCAACTTCGGCTGGTCTTTAGAATGTCTCGCCGCAAGCAAGCGAAACCAAGATCGCTGAAAGGTAAGCAAAACGTTGTATACATCTCATGTGGTACGGAGAGGAGCGCAGCGCTGCATTGCAAGCTGTGCTACCAGGAGAAGACAATCCAAGCCCTTTTATTTAGCTTTTTATTTTGCATTCTGCCGATCACCGATTGTTTATCGGGTATATGATGTTTTTTAAACTATACGCATGTAGCGCATATACTTTTTCCTGCTTAAAATGCTTTGGATGCGCGCCATACTTTACGGAAATAGTTTTAGTAGTGTAGGGGCACGTCTGGGGGGATCCCCGCTTACAGCCCCCCGCTTTGCCCACGGTGGCCGAGCCCCGGCGCGGTACGAGGCAGCGCTGAAGTTACGGAGTGCGGCGCTCTGTTGGAATGTAAGTTTGTAGCACGGGGGTGGGGTGGGGTGTCACGTGATGCCCCCCCTTCTCCAACTGGGGGGGGGGGGCGGTCTGGGATGGGGGGGCTGGCAAATTAACGGGAATATTAAAGGACAGCAAAGAGCGAAGGGAGGCTTGACGGACAGAAAAAAAACCCAGTGGTACCTCTATAGCGTGCGGCCGGTGAATAGATAAGCTTTGCTGTAAAATTGCAATTTTCGGCTGGTGTTTAATAAAGACGTCAGCACTGTCCAGCACCTTTTGTAAACTGATACAACAACTTGGGCTAATTCTTTTGATCCCCTGCTTGCAAAAACGTTAAGCTCAGGCGTTATTTGATCCTTTCATAGTACTGTTACTCGAGACGTGGTCGTAATTACTGCCGCACGCTCGCTATAAAATGACCCTACGTGTATTTTCCCTTGATTGCAGTCAGTAGGCGAAGTTTGCTAGGTCTTTGTGTTCTTACGGCCAATATTTCAAATCAACACCTGGGATGATGGGGGAAAGTCTGAAAGATCGCCTTGAATTACTGCTAGTTTTTACATATGCAGGATGGTCCAATTTCTGCTGCGATTGTAATGCTAATGTAAGCTACTTTGGCTTTAGATAGGATTCGGCTTATTGTTCCAAATGTCAATAAAGAAAAATTTCAAAATCGAATTAAACCGTACGGACGGATCTTCTCTGGGCATACAGGTTTAATGGCGTTGATGCGTCAGAATAGGTTTCATTGTGACCTGCACTGGAGTCTGTGTATGTGTAAGAAAATGGTTTACATGAAGCACTGACTTAGACCTGTGTTTACGATTATGCATTGCTTTTTCTTGTCTTTTTAATTTTATCCAACACTGACAAAATAATTGGCATTATAATCCAAAAATCGAGACACCCAGTGACGTGTCAATGAGATGAGATGGTGCTTACATTTATTATTATCTTGATAAATGCGGTGTTGTGTTAGCAGTCGCCGTGTATTGTGTCGTTGATGAAACGCCAGTACCGGATTTCAGTGAAGACACTCAGCAGAGCCGCATTGGACAGAAGAGTTAATATGCAACATTTGCAGGCACGTAGCGGCTGCTGGTGGGGGCGTCTCTGGGAGGAATGGTGTGTGAACCTGGACTGGGATATTAAACGCATGGCTTATGGGCTAGTGTTTTGTCCCGTCGTGTAAAGACGGTCTCGGTCCAGTTCCATGTTACTCCATGACACGGAGCCGCCGCCTTTCCGTTTGACAGCAAACAAGCAAAAAACAGGCGCCTTTGTGTATCTGCGGACATGCAAACTATTCAGCCGAGAGGGGAGTTCACTGACATGCCCGGCAAGTTTTTATTAATACAAATAACCTATATTACTTAGGCCTATTTCAACAGGACGTCTGCATTTAGATGTGGGGAAAAAAATCTCCTCTGACCGAGGTTTCTTTGGACACTGCTAAAAAGTTACTGTATTTTTGCTCAAAGGACTATCTAATATTTCACTTTTTTGGCTTTTGGGTAAGTGCAGCGTTCTGCATATGTACACTTGTTTGTAAGTGTTTTCCTGATCAAGGTACAGTATAGGGTTAAGTCAGATCGTTTTGTTTGTACGTACATCACAGCAGAGGAGAATAAAAATCGATATTAATAAATTAAAAATATTTCTGTACCGGGCCCCGTTAAAGATAATTGGAAAGGCCAATAAATGATTGGCCGCCGGTTTTATAATTTCTGAAGGTTGTCGTTTATCAAACAAAATATAGGCCTACAGTTAACGTGCGTAACTTTGAAATTAGATTTTCACATTTATTTGTTTATTATGTCAATAATATTGCCAGTGTTTGTGGAAGGGAGATGTGAGATAGATCTGTTTTTAATTAATGCACATAGATATCTTGGTAAGATTGGCTCTTGTGTTTCAGTTGCTTGTCCATGTTATTGCTGTGATCTTGTACTTCGAAACAACGTAATTACCATGAAAATGGATGGTGCAGATTATGGAATCATTTATACAATAACATGTAGGAATTTTAGTCCCCTCCATACAAACTCGCTTTTCTGACGGTCTCATCCCCACGTATGCCTGTTGAAGGATGGACGTTGACACTTGTTGGATATTTGCCGGATTCATAAAAAAAAAACCTGGCCCGTTAAATGGTGCTAATTAATTCAGTGAACGTAAATATTGTATTGTGAGCTTCCCTGGTTTCTCACTGTTTTGTTTTTGTTGATTATGCTAATTATGAATGCGCGCCAGGATCTGTCAGCAAGCTCTTTGAGGCTTGTTAATAAAACGGGAAACTCAGAAGTGGAGATGTTTAACCCCAAATGCTCCGGTAAAGATCCATCCGTTCAAATTTATACGTTTTCTGGTACAAAAAAAAAACAAACAAAACTGATAGGCCTGTCTCAATTTTGATCTATTGCATTTTCTGTTGAATTACATATAACTTACTTGATCAGAATGCATCATATATAGGAGATTGTGTGTGTGTATATATTATATAATATGTAGTTGTATAATTATTGACATAATAACAGGTACATAATCAGTTTAGGCATATAAATTTAGGCTAATTTTAGTTAGTTTGAGAGTTGCTGAAATGTTCCCGAAATGTTAGCTTTGTCTAAGATTGACTTTGTAATAAACTCCTCTATATATCGGCAGTGTACATAGCATCTATCCTGTGCGGTGTTGGCAATAAAGACATCAATCCATACATTTTCAATAAGCGCTTATGTAATTAGGGCAAATGAAGACATAGCAGGAAATAACTGATTCGCTTGGAAGCTGGAAGCAAAGCCAGTTAATGAACAGTTAACTTTTAAATGGGCGCTTTGTTGTGAAAATTAGCGCTCATTCCTTCGACGTTAGTTCCCTTCTCTTTGTCATTAACAATTGGTTATGCGAATTTCATGCCTCGTCTCTCTTATTTCACCAACAGGGACAATAATCAAAACAAAAACTCAAACTCCCCACGCCAATTTATGCCGAAGCCATGGGGGATTCATTAAACCCCTTTCTCTAAATGATCCTACATGCAAACTCTCTGTAGCAAAGGAGAAACTCATTAAGGAGCTGCTTTAAACTCGGAGGGCCTCCTGTACTTAGCGTCCTTTAACAGGCATCCCAAGGCCTGGCAGGCAGCACTCCGCGAACGCGGTCTCACCGCCAGAGCAAAGGTGAAATGCTGCTTGATGGAGGGGCGGATTAGCATATCGTTTTTGCATCTTCCCGACGGTGGGCGTGATTTTTGGGAATTAATGGTGCTTCTTTGACTGTCCTAGCCACAAACCTGCTAGCTGGTAGTTATGATGAACCTGATTAAACGGAATCTTAACCAGTTGCATGCAAGTCTTGTTTTATGCAATGCGTGCCATCGTTATGATATTGCAGGCTACGTAATGTATTTTTTAATACCCTTGTTTGGGGTGATTATTAAGGTGTCCTATGCAATTTACTGAATTTTCTTTAAAATATCAAATAAAATGTGTACATTAAACTTACGCAAGGTAACTTGGTTTGTCCTCAATCATAAATACTGCAGAAGCTGGAAGCTAGCGTACAATATTGAGATGCAGGGTTTGCTTAAGTACAAGACGTGCTAAAGAAAGTAATTTTAAGTAATTTTCCAGCAGGATGTAAGCTGGTGACAAAATTGTTGCGGTGTTGAGTTTTGCAGCCCACCGCTGCGGCCTGTTTTCGTTGCTTACATGTTGTGTTTTTATTATTATTTTTTGTTTAAGTGCCGACTGGAGGTTTCCTGGCCTTGGAAAATGTGAGGGTGGATGCAGTAGCTGCCTTGTTTCTGCCGGGGGGTGCTGGGGGGACGAGGTGCGAGGTGCTCGCCGAGGCGCTGCGTTTTTCCACGGACCTCGCGGGAAGAGCTTCTGATGCCCAGTTGCTAAAATGCTTTTAGCTCCCCGAACGCGGCGTGGCCTTAACTTTCACGTCAAGACAAAATGCTTCAGGAGCCGGAAGAATTATATACATGGTTTGCTTATGAGCTGAGGGACAAACATTAAAAAGAAACAGCCTTTATTGAGTTTGCTAGGAGATTCATGAATTTATGAAACACCTAAAGTCTTTTATTAGATTTTTTAACCCACTTTGTTTGTTTATTGGTGTTACCCCATATCATCAGCTGCTGGATGTGTTCCCAAAGCTTGACTGAGTTCCTGTGTGTCTCTTTGCACCTGATGGGGTTTCTCTTTCTGCCATCAATGGCCCCCAAAATGCCCCCCCCGTCCCCACACCTGCACTCTCTGGGAGATCGCAGCTCTCTGTGGCACTTATTTTTAGTTAATGTACAAAGTCTGCCGTGTTATTTTTGCTACAGGAACGCAAGTCGAGCCTCCTGTTCCCTCAAAGCTGTCGCGTGTCTCTCCCTGGCACGTCAGAGTGTTGGGTATGGTAGCGTTGTGGGTCTCACGGTTTGGACTAGGTTTTCTAAGAAACTTGCACTGCGCTCCCATTGGCTGCCTCCACCCGCTCCCATTTCTGCTGGCGCTCTGATTGGCCGCATTCGTCTTGTAGCAGTTTTCGTGTTTGGCACCTCCGCAGGCCTCAGTAAAAATACATTCGTAAACCTGTTCTTGGCGCACCTAATAAAACGGGCAACCCATCCTTCGGCGTTACCGGGCAAAATCGAC